GCACAGAAATGCAGAGCTGCAAAAGGCTTTCAAATCTGATGCACAGTTTCTCTCTTTCTTTGTTTCTCCAATGAGAACTAGAGCCCAATTCTGCTCTTTGGCACTACTGCAGAGTCGCTGACTTCATTGGGGCTTTGCAGGGTCAGGGCTGTATCTAAGCTATGCCTGATGCATCTCCAGAAGCAGTGGGAGGGAAACTGGCTGGGGTCAGCTTGAACTTTTGCCTAGGTCACCTCTGTCCCCACAGGACCAATTCAGCATCTGTGAATTGCCCACATGAGGGACACAGAGGCCACAGAGCCTTTCCTCCGGCTCCGCTTCTGCTGGGATACATTGGCTCTTTTGCACCTGGTGAATTCTTTCTGCCTTATACTTCCACTGCCTCGTTAAGCTGGTATTGAGCTGCTGGGCACTGCTGGAGCAGCACAAAACAGCCAGAGCTGGATCTGGCCCATATATTCTGGCAAGTAAATCCCTTTTGGCTGCAATGCTAATGCTATTGAATCACTGACTGAAAGGAAAAAGGAATTCAGTTGAGCAGTTAAGTGGTAAATCCTGCAGTCTGGGGCATATTACATGTTTCTAATGTACTTCCCTTCTGGATAAAAGCACAGTAAGATGCCCTGCTTAACAACAGTAATCACTGCGTTTAGTTACGTTTTGTAATCTTTGTATCATTTTTCTCTGACCTGCACTAAATGTACACGAGTGGTTTTTTTTTTAAATAATTGTTCTGAGTGAGAGGGATGTATAATACTGAATTTTCATCATCTTGCTTATTAGCCTGCTGTCCATGCAAAAAGCTATATGAGATTATATAGTTCTAAAGGGGAATTACCTGCTGATATGACATTTCAGCCACTTGTGGGGATATACGTGATTATAAATCCGTGGTATTTTTAAACTCCATCCTCACTCGGCCTTGCAAATGATAGTTTTCCAGAGGAATAAAGATAACTGGTTTGGGACGTCTGCAACATTTCACATCAAGATCCATTTTGCAGTTACATTATAAAGGGAAATTGATTTTAAAAAACATGTACACTGTAGAAAATAACCACAGTGCAACAAAATAGGTAATGTAATCAAAATGACATTAATTTCTCATATCTGGCTAAAATATTTGGGCTTAGGCATAGGTTTTTTGTAGCAGTTGCTAGTTACTGCAATGATTTGTCATGGTACCCTCTAGAAAATTGGTCAGCAGGTAAATGGGCGCTCCGAATTATTTCAACCTGTTAATCAATAGAATGGCTCAGTCCAGAGCAACATGTTTTTGTGATTCATCAAGTTCCCGCTGAAATGTGAAGAAATTTGACAGTTTTACATTCATATTTGTTCACCGCTACTACAGGCTTGCTTCTCTAATTTTCTGTTAAGTTTAAGGTGATTATTCAGAAGCAGCATGTTCCGTACCTGAGCCCATATCCCCTGCCCTATGTTTTTTTGTAGCGATGGCTTAGATTTGGCTATTACTGTTATTGATGAAGTGAGGTGTGTGCTCACACTCCGTAGTGTGCGAGTCGACTGCTGTTTGTCATTTCTCTAACCTCTTCCCTCAAAATGGCTGTGAAGGTTGGTAGTTGTGAGTCTCTGGAGATGCTTCCGTTTCTTGACACCACCTTTTGAGGTGTTTTATTCTTGTTTCTACTCTGTACTTAGCTCAGAAAGAGCAATGTGTTGTAGGCAGGTGCTTTTGTGCTCTCCGTGCTTGGGATGTGGAAGAGCATGTGATGCAGAAAAAGAAGGAATACCAGTCCTGGATCCCACGGGACCCAAGTGCAGGAAGAGAGCTTGCCTGGGGCTGGAGAACACAGTGAGGTGCAGCAAGAGGCAGGCTGAGCTGGAGTTGACATAGTGTCAGTTCACAGTGACTTCACATCATGCTCATGTTTTTGGATAATCTATCCTCACTTGATGCTTTTAGCCAGATTTTTTTGTATTCTATTTGGATTTTTCCTTCCTTTTAAAAAAAATCATTGTATTCTTAAAGGGGAAGGAATTCACTCCACCAACTCAAGCCAGGAATGCTTTGGGTAGGCTGTCTGAAACATCACTGCATCTCTAGTAGTCTACCTTTCCCAGCTGTGACCTGTTCCTTTTTGGGGTCTGTCCCCAACAGAAACTGCCCATCGCGGAATCTCTGCTGGTTTGTTTTTAATGTGCACCAATGACAAATAGGATGTACCACCAAATTTATTTTCTCCTCTACTAATGCTGAATTTCAATGGTAATCCTCAGAGATGAGTCTGAGGACTTCTCTTCACATGAAAGCTAACCTGGAACAAGGTAGCGTGTGAATATAAAGAGAATTAACTACTCAGATGCACAGCAAGTGTGGATGCTCTTATTTCAGAATAAGAATGCCTTATTCTGGACTAAATCCAGTGGGTTAAAATAGTTTAGAATAAAGCACACTTATTCTGGAATAAACTCCATGGCTACGTCTACACTGGCACCCTTTTCCGGAAATGCTTAAAACGGAACAGTTTTCTGTTATAAGTATTTCCGGAAAAAGCGCATCTACATTGGCAGGATGCTTTTCTGGAAAAGCAATTTTTCCAGAAAAGCGTCCGTGGCCAATCTAGACGCGCTTTTCCGCAAAAAAGCCGCAATCATCATTTTCGCGATCGGGGCTTTTTTGCGGAAAACACTGCTGTGCTGTCTATGCTGGCCCTTTTCTGGAACAGTTTTCCGGAAAAAGGACTTTTGCCCGAACGGGAGCAGCATAGTATTTCCGGAAAAGCGTCTGATTTCTTACAGTAGATCGTCAGTGCTTTTCCGGAAATTCAAGGAGCCAGTATAGACAGCTGGCAAGTTATTCCAGAAAAGTGGCTGATTTTCCGGAATAAGTGGCCAGTGTAGACACAAGCCATGTGTGGATGTTCTTATATGGAGTAACTTTACTTATAGACCAGTCCTAATCTGGGCCTCAGAACTGCCTATTTGCAAAGGTTTTATCTGGACTGTCTGACACTCTCTGAGATAGTTGAGATTTTTTTCCCATCAATGTCTTAATTACTTTCAGCAGTTATTTCTCTAATGTGGGCTATGTTCCCCGTGGGGTTCTGCCGTGTGACAGCTTTGTTCCTGTAATGCTCTGAGTTTCCTGTGCAATCCTTGGGGGCTAATGCTTCGATGTTTATAGTGTCAGGGATATGCAGACAATACTCAGCTGTATTTTTAGCTCCTGCAGATTCTCTGAAGCAGCTTGATGCTTTTACATAATTGACTGATATTCAGTCATGAATGTCTTCAGATGTTCTTGAACTCAAAGAACTAAACACTGCCAGCTGCTATTGATTTTTTTTTTCTTCAGTGCAGTCTCAGATGATATCTTGCAGGGAGTGGGGTCCCTTTGGTGGCAGGACTCTATTCTTCAGATACAGCTTGTGATTACCTTGGTGCCAGCGTGCAAACTAAGGCTTTTTGTGTTGTTTTTATTTGTCAGTCCCACTGTTCTTATCAACTTTAATCCCTATGGGAGCTGGTCAGCAAAAAAGATGAAGTGAAGCAACCTGTTACCTTTCCACACAAGTAGCTGGCGCTTAGCCAAAGAGTGAGATACGGCCTTCCACATTCTGATACCTTGACACTGCAGTTTCATTAGCCCCTAAGATTAATCTGAAGATTTTGATAGGAATGTACAAACTTCTGTCTGACTCATGCTTGTACTGCACACAGATTTTTGTACTGGGATGGCTATCGTGGTAGCAGAGGTAGTTTTTTAAAAAGAAAACAAAAATGGAAATAATTATAGCAGTAATGTACTGGGATGGCTATCGTGGTAGCAGGGGTAGTTTTTTAAAAAGAAAACAAAAAGGGAAATAATTATAGCAGTAAAGCCGTTAGTGTAGATGCACTTGTACTGCACTAAGGGTTCTTTATACCAGTATATCTTAAACCCATTTGTAA